ATCGCCACACATCCACTGCCACCTCCACCGATCCCGAAGGATCGTCGCAAGGCCGACGACGAGAAGCTGCTGATCAACGTGAGCGGCCGTCGCTTCGAGACCTGGCGGAACACCCTCGAGAAGTATCCGGACACTCTTCTCGGTTCGAACGAGCGCGAGTTCTTTTACGACGAGGAGAGCAAGGAGTACTTCTTCGACCGTGATCCAGACATCTTTCGTCACATACTGAACTACTATAGAACCGGTAAGCTTCACTATCCGAAGCACGAATGCCTGACCAGCTACGACGAAGAGTTGGCGTTTTTCGGTATCCTGCCCGACGTGATCGGCGATTGTTGCTACGAGGATTATCGCGATCGCAAACGGGAGAACGCCGAACGGCTGATGGACGACAAGCTCAGCGAGAACGGGGATCAGAATCTTCAACAGCTGCTGGACATCAGGCAAAAGATGTGGAGGGCGTTCCAGAATCCTCACATCTCGACGGCGGCGTTGGTATTCTATTATGTGACCGGTTTCTTCATCGCCGTGAGCGTGCTGGCGAACGTGGTCGAGACCGTGCCGTGCGGTAATCGTCCGGGACGCGCCGGTACGCTTTCATGCGGCGAACGTTACAAGATCGTCTTCTTCTGCCTGGACACCGCCTGCGTCATGATATTCACCGCCGAGTATCTATTGAGGCTGTTCGCGGCGCCTAGCCGCTGCAAATTCGCTCGATCCGTCATGTCGATCATCGACGTGGTCGCTATTTTACCCTATTACATCGGTCTCGGTATCACCGACAACGACGACGTATCCGGTGCTTTCGTTACGTTGCGCGTCTTCCGTGTGTTCCGGATCTTCAAGTTCTCCAGACACTCGCAGGGACTCAGGATTCTCGGTTACACCTTGAAATCATGCGCCTCGGAGCTCGGATTTCTCGTCTTCTCTCTGGCCATGGCCATCATCATATTCGCGACCGTCATGTTCTACGCGGAGAAGAACGTCGATGGAACGAATTTCACCTCGATCCCGGCCGCTTTCTGGTACACCATCGTAACGATGACGACCTTAGGGTGAGTTTTGCTCGTTTCGAACTTATAGGATCGAAGTACTTTTCCTATTCAATTCTTTATTTTCTTCTTATTTATCCATAACGAATTAATTTGCCCTCACTGGCAAATGGACTGTCGTATAAGGAATCGAAATGCAAATGGTTACGTCGAACAGTGTGGGACTCGCATGGTGCGTCGTCGTTACGGTACATACGGGGTAAGACGCAACCGACGTGTCAATATGTATATCGAATGGATAGCACGTGACGCACACGGTGCGCTGACATTTGTGCTGTATACATTATTGCAACATTAGGGTACACAAGATGCGTCATTGGTATCGTGGTATAGAACTATACAGTGCCTCAATATTTGCATCGTAGATATAAAATTTTGTGCCTACATTAATGACTTCGCGCTTCTTGTCCTCGTGTTCTTTTCGCTAAAAATGATCGAAATCTACTTTGTCGATTTTAAAAGATTTTGAAACCTCTCGGATCAGTATAAAGCTGCATACGTCGTGAAACGTCAAATAACGAGATCGAGGAACAACCTGTTCACTTGTTGAAAAGAACAACGCTTTGACGATCGTAAAACTGGAGACGTTCGAAGATTTATGGTTTCTATCGAAAGCGTCGGTGGCGGCGTATCCCAGGTACGAACGAAGCAGGAAGAGCTGCATCTACGAAAGTAATTGGCTCCGTGTAAACCGCCCGAAGACTGAAACAAGCAGCAGAGACTCCAGTGATATTTTTAAAACAGAGGTCGTTGTCGACCTTTTTACTTCGAAGGTTGCCCGGCTCGTTGCTTTCTCTAAATATCCGCGCGCAGAAGCACCGACCCCGAAACTGACAATTTCTTTTTCTTTCTTACCAATTCTCATTCTTCCCTCTTCGCCGTTTTATCGTAAACTCATCCCGATTTTTTTTTATTTTCTCCATCGTCGCGAATTAAAGCGACCGATCCCTCTGGCCGCTTTTCAAACACGCCGTGAAACCCCGAACACGACGAAGAGCACGACTCTGTTTGCTTTTAATTTCTCAAAAACGCCGTTTTCTTCGTGGACGAAATTCGTTTCTTCTCGTGGATTAAACTCGTTCGAGTTTCTGAAACTTGTTCGAGGAACTTTCCAGCTTCCCCGGGAGCAGATATTGTTCTTTTGGTCCGACTCTTTTAATTGGAATATTCGATAAGAATTATACTGTCGGTAGGCAGAGAATGTTGCAGGTTATAATGCTTTACGTGTTACAAACGTGAGTTTTATAATAAAGTGACGTGTTTCCAGAGTCGTAAACTTCGTGAGTCTATAATTCTCCAATTAAATTAAAAAAGACACCGAATGTTGAGGAAAATTCACGGGAGCACGAAATTCTTCAAAGTTTCAAACTTCTCGCATTTAGAATTCAATGTTCCGACTTGAGGACCGATTTTAAAGTTCTCATTCTTAATTTTGCACGGTCGCCGAACGGTCATTCAGTGAGGGACGATGAAAAAATTACGGAGCTCTCTTTCGTCTGGCGCAGGACAGATCCATAAAACGGCATGGAAATATTAATGCTCTCGAAGGAGAAACTCGATGCGAATTCAGCAATGCGCGCAAATTTTGTGGTCGCATGGAAACGAGTGTGGCTTGTTCCTCTTATGTTGGAAATACGACACTCGTCAGCGGAGGGTCATCCGCAATATGTAAATCTACTTTCTCGTTGGTAGTCGATTAATTATTCACTCGTACGTTCTTCATTGCAAGTGGGATTATTAATAGACCAAGTTCTTTATTTATTATTAGCTGCTTTCGGAAACACGAGAGCTGGGATTTAAAGATTAATATTTTATAATTAAAGATCCTCGATTTCCGTCGATGAAATATGCGTTTCCGTAGCGTAGCAATGAAAGGAAGTATCGGAGGTAAGCGAATAAAGAGTAACGGAAAAATTTATCCGCCCCACTTCCGGCCACGGAAGAAACCGCACGTCTCTTCTCTATTTCTGCCCCGTGAAATCTATGTCAATGGTATTTTCGTTTCGTTTTCGCACGGACAGCTGACAATCAGCATAATCTTAGTCACGCACAGGGTGGTCGTGTTCGTTTGCTTGTCACTTAAGCGATCGTTCGAATCCGTGCTGGTTCAGGAAATATCTTAATCGATATCTCCGTGATTCGATGGATTTAGGGGTAGATAAAGGTTGAGCGATAGCGTCCCATGAATTATTTGCAGTTTTATCAGCGATGTACGTTAATTTCGTTCGTTGAATATTAGAATGTTGCCTGGATTTGTGATCAGGTTGATCAGCGTAGAAACAAGGTTACGGACGAAAGGACAATGGCGGATAAATCATATCGCTAACACAAAGCGTTTGTCATTCGTGGGATCATTAGCTACCTGTTAGATTTGGGGGTCGTACTGCATAGAGATATCGAGGTTTCCTTAATTGCTTGATTACACATAAAGGTCTGCCACGGACTTACTCGACTAGCCAGATACATTGTACACATTATCGATTTCTTTGTCCCTATTTGCATATCGTTTTCTCCGTTCGTCGACATTTTTCATCGCTTTCGTAGGAAAATTGAAGCGAGTAATTTCGTTACATTTCCAATAGCAGCAATTGTAATAATTACGTTGCACGGAAGAAAAAGTATAGTCAGGTTTCGCTTCGAATATTAATGTGATTTTCGATCGCGCTCTTATAATTCCGTGACTATAAATTGCGCGGACGATAAATGAAATAAAAATTGTTTCCGTTTCCCCGTAAGTCAAGGATCGTGTAAAGCATTAACCCGGAAAAGTAACAATGGTTCGTTGATTAATTAACTTTCGGACGATTTCGATGGACACGAATCGGAGAATGTATAAGGTTCATTAAAGGATAATGACGGTCCATTATCGAGCAACTCGGTTTCCCGAATGTCCAGATAAACTCGTTTCGTCGATAGAATTATAATAGGTGATGTTACCACGTTTTCCTTGTTAATTGTTTCGATTTAGATCGTTCCACCACGACTGTCTCCCTTTCTCCGCTGTCAGTCCTCTCTTTTCCTCGCGGCATCCGTTCACGCTAGCGCGTAGCCTTTGATAATTTTAATCGTGCCCCGTTAAATTGTTTCGGCTGTCCAAATATAACACCTACGTCGACGCGAATTTATCAGAACTCAGGTGTGAACCAGCTGCCACCTCGTTTGCCGGCGCTCAACGAATTTGTGGCATTTTAGCGACTCGTGCCAGCCGTTTCTATTTTTCACCTGTCTTCCACGATCTCTTTCCGACTTACGATCATTTACGGGTCAATAAGTTTAGAGCGACAACGCTTTGCGGCTTCGAAATACAACACTTTGTAACCACTTGGTCAGGCTCGAAAATAGTAACAGTTTAATATTGTCCGATCGAAGCAATCGCTCAGGAATTCGGAATGAAAATTCTTTACTTTCAAGTTGATTTGAATTTTCATTAAACATTGTTCGAATATTAATTCCGTTTCTATCGAGACACAGTTCTGTCACTATGAATTATACAGCTCCAAATTTGAATAGAAGTAATCGACCGTATTTGAATTTACAACGAACACTGTATGAATATTAATTTTTCGTCGTGACGTTACAATCCTGTCACCCTTGAATTATACAATTTCGAAGTTTGCGTATTTGCCTGGAATTTGTGCTTAAACGACACGTATTCTTAACGGTAATCCAAGCGCCGAATGGGGTGGTCGTTGTTTCGGAACGATCGTGAATAGTTTTGCCTTCGAAAGCTACATCGTCGTTTGTTACGCTCGTGGTACGTTTATCCTTTCGTCGTATTTTTCGATAGAATGGGAAACACCTGAGCTGGTATACAGAGTTGACAAAAATTACAGCGGTATCAGGGGAGGCAACGACAAAATACAGCGCTGCTCGTGTACATATTTTTTGCTTAAAATAAAGTAATGTATTCGTCTTGAAACGAGGCCATTCTAGCGAAAAAACCGATGGAAAATAATGGATCATTGTTACGGAGGGAACTCGGGACATTTCAGGTGAATTTTAAACCGAAAGAAACACAATTGTTTTCGAGCAACGAAGACACAAAATGTGGGTAATTAATTATAAAGAAAATTCATTTGATAATCTATAAATAAATTACGTGGAATGTTATAAGTTGTGTACCGATTACAAGCTCTCGTGTTTCGATAAATTATTAACACGTGTACGCGTGAACAATGCATAATATTTGTACGAGCATTTACTGTGCACTTGAAACGTAATTTCGCCCGAACATGTACTCTCGTGAGCGACAGTTTATTCGCCACAAACAGCCAAGGAAAGTCATGTTTCCTCGTAGACCAATAACATCGTCAGTTTTTTCTCGTGTCAGCACCACCTGCATTCTAGCTTGCGTGTCCAGGCTAGTCCATGTCGGTTCCTTCAAACTTTAACGAGAAGGATCAACAGGTGCCTCGAGGATATTTCTCTAGTTGCGTTCTAACGTTACACTTTTCAAATCCGAAACTTGTCGATTTTTGTACAACATGGACTCATTATGGACCTCGGGGTGATGTAGCTTTCACCTGTCAAAATTCCAACAGAGTGATTTGATAAGTTGCTGTTTAGCTCGATTTCAGGTTGTTATCTATGCGGCTATTATCGTAATGCAATTCCATTCGCATTGTAATCATTGAACATTGCCATTTCAACGCGTTATTATTGCGATGTATTACCATTGTAACGCGTTATCATTGCAGCGTGCTGGTGCGTTGTTATTGTAACGTTATCATTGCAACATGTTATTAATTGCATTTCAGCTCATTATCGTTACTGTTGCAGTTATGATTGTAAGGTTGTTGCAATGTGTTACTAGTTCATTATCAGTAAAAATGCATTTCTTTGTAATGCGTTCGTAGCGCCACTATTGCACCCCTGTTGCAGTTACGATTTTAATGCGTTATCGTTGCAACGTGTTGTTATTACAGTGCATTGCTCTTTCAACTCATTACTATTGCAACGTGTTACTATTTCAACGCATTGTCAGTAAAAGTGCATTCCTTTGC